TATGTATGTTTTGTATAGATATTAACTGATGAGAACAAAACTAATAAGAGCAAATATGTAAATAAATATGTATATAATATGTTATGTATGATTGTGTGTATGTGTTTAAGTATGAACGTGTGCATATGTATTTATAGAAATTGTGTGCATGTGTGAATATAAATATATATAGAAATGTAGTGAATATACGTGTTTGTATTATAATATATATGTGTCTGTGTGATCTTATATAGGTTGATTCAGAAAGTGGTTTGAAATATATAGCTTTGAGATGCGTGATAATATTGTGTATTTTGTGTATATGTTTGTGTTAATTGTGCATAAAAATTAATATCTTAAGTATAAAATAAGTGAATTAGAAGAAATGAGAGAGATTTGAGAAGAGTGTAATGTGTAAGGATCTTAAATACCTACTCGTTTAGCTTGAATCAATGAGAGAATGGTGCGTGTGTGGCTGAAGTTCAACGGGAATGATGAACCTGCACATGAACAGAGTTTAAAGCCTAATTCAGACGTAGATAGGTATTTGTGAGTGTTGGTTACCTAACAAACATACTTGTTGTGGCCATTGTAAAATTTATGTGTGTGCTATCCATGCGACGGGGAGATCTATTTTGTCTCTCCTTGATGACGATATAAACAGCATGGTGAGATGAAATTTTAGATGTGATATTCTAAGTGTATTATGATATTTCGAGTGTGAGTGTGATTTGAAAGGATAACAAGAATTGTGTTACATTTTCTGTGATGATTTGTTTTGTTGTGTATTTTGATTGTGATACTTGTGTGACATTTTCTTTGATAATAAAAACTATTGTATATTATATATTTCATGAATGTATATACATAAGTTTTCGTTATAGAATATTTTTTCTTATTAATCTCGTGAAACTCACTTCAATAGGTCAGAAGAGAAGAGAAACAAGTCTAATATCAATAGAAGATGTTGAAGAAAAACTTGTTACTTTCTATTTTAGGTTTATAAATTTTTTTAGATGTCTTAATTATTTGTAAAATAAATAATTAACCTTGTCACAAAAAATATATATTAAAGTGTAGTGTAGTTGCATATTTAATATTTTTATATTACGCTAGTTGAAAATATTGTCCCGTAGAATTTGTAGTCAAAAGACTTATAAATGTGGTAGTCTTATTGACCTATGCGATTAGACTGTACTTAGATGGTCGGAAGCTTGTATAAATTTTTATTCAAATCACTTTGAGTTGTTCATTAAGTTATCTTCTGTTTTTTGTTTTTTGTTTTAATTTCTTTTCATGTAAAAAGATATGCAAACATGGGTTGAGATGCAGGATTACAGTCTCTAAGTTCATGGAAAAGAGCTTGCTTTTGTGACTAAAACGAATTTGGTTGAGCCTCTCAAAATAAATTTTGAAAAAACAATTGTTATTTTGTATATATGCTGATTTAATATTTAATTATATTAATAATTTAATAAAACTTCATTTTGTAACTTCTATTTTTCATCTCAAAATTTTGTTGAATTTTTTTTTAAAAAAAGAATATTATATGAATGGGTATCAATTGAAAAAAATAATAATTTCAATTAACAATCATCTAATTAGGAAAAGAAATGTTGCCAAGTCAAATAAATTACACCATCACTCAGTATTTTTTTTTTTTTATTGTTAATGCTCACATTTTAATAATTAAATTGTACTTGGAAGACTAATAACAACATAATTAAACTCGTGAAGAAAAAATAACACAATCAATCTCCTAATAATAATACATAAGAGATGTACAATTCTGTATAAAATATGCCCTTGTTTAAGCTAGCAAACATAAACTATATTTAACATAGAAAAGAAAAATATAAATATAAAAATAAAAATAAATTTTGGGAATAAGTTTAATTATTGTACATGAGAAAAAGTACATTACATCAAAGAATAACTACACAAATGACTTTAATATACTGGGAAAAAAAAAATCAAAACAAAATCTACTACAAAATAAGTAACTTCAACTATCCTGTAAAATCTTGAGAATTCCTCAGGCCGTTGATAGATCAAACAAGGAATCTCATTTGGGGGTGATTGCCTTGATCAACCATATAAGGTCTTCCTTTTCGTGGTTTCTAGCGTGGTCCTTCTGAAATATTGCATACTACCAAAAAATACAAGCAACTAATTGCTCTACTACGTAAAAGTAGAAGTAAGCCGAATTGCTTTTCATTTCTTGAATATGTGTATCTATGCACCGGGGTTAGATATACGACCTTCGTAAATAATGTTTCTGCTTCGCTTATCCGAGTCTCTTATAAACAATCTCAGAGCTGTAGGGCACAACTTACGGTTGAGAGCAGCATAGTTTTGAAGCATATACAATGTCTAGGGTTTTAAGTTAATTTCCAGAAAATCTTTTGGGCAGTTCTATACTGAACCAAGTGGGAGGAAGATCATGGATTCGTGAAACAAGATAAATTATAAACCCTACATATGCAGCTGTGCCTGCACAAACCAGAAATCCAAACAGCAATCCCTTGACTTCGGAAACAAAGAAATCAAACAAAAGATATCCGTTGATTACCATCACCAAGGCAGCCACAGTCCATGCCAACCTCTGCAAAATTAATCAACAATTTCTGAAGTTAGAACAATAAATCATATCATTGGAAGCCAATTAAAACCTATAGCAAGGAGCTTGATCTTAGAAGAAATAAACATGCAAACTGCATATTCTACAGACAAGAAACTATACAAAAACCAGCTCATAAAGAATGATGTCACCTGCCACTTCTTACAACTTGAATTTTACGCAAAACTTTAGAAAGTTTTTACATGATTTTGGGTATTTTATGTAGGAAGCTTGTAGCACTGACAGCAGAAGAAGAAAAAACAATGTAAAGTGTACAGAGAAAATTATAATGAGATCATTTAGCTCCAAACAACCAACTTGCACAGACACAGTAATACAAAATTCTCTTAAAAGGGTCCAGGGAAAGACAACGAAATAGCATATAAAAGAATGAAGAGCATACACTAAATCTAGAGTATAAAATAAGAGCAGAATACAATGATATACATGTTTCGGATCGACAAATTCAAGAATCCACGAAAAACAATGATCCTCAAAAAAATAGAACTGAGCTGTTATAGCATAGAACTTCATGAAAACTTTTTAGAATCAATAATTGATAAATACGGCTGCCAGTGACGATGCTAATCAAAATTTGATGACTGATAAAATATGTGCTATGAGATCCTACAAAAGTCCAAGGAATGGAGGGACAATGAAGATAAACTTACATTAAGCATAGGTCCAATCCTGAATACTCCCATGAGTTCTTCCTTGGAAACTAAAGTAAGAAGAGGGATAAGCGCAAAAGGAATCTGGATCGACTGAAGCACATTAAGCCACTCGTTCAAAACATCTAATGAAGCCTCAGAGGTATTAAATATAATAGCAATGATCATAGTTGGCACAATTGCGCAACTTCTTGTTATCAATGCCCTTAGCCATTTCTTCAACCGAAGATTGAGAAAACCACCCATGATAAATTGTCCAGCATATGTGCCAGTTATTGTACTGCTCTGTCCGGCAGCCAGTAACCCTATTCCCCAGACATAAAGAATTGGAAAGAGTCCTCCTCCATACTTCTTCTGAAGATATTCTCCTGCATTAACTAATCCTATACTATTGGCTTCTTTAGTACCATAAAATCCCTCAGCAAAAACAGTGGTCAGAAACAAATTAATCATGAAGGAGACTAAAAGGGCAGCCGATGACTCAATCGTGTAGTAATTTAGTGCCTCTTGAACCCGACCTCTTCTCTTCGGATCAATTTTCCGGGACTGTACCAAAGCTGAGTGCAAGAAGACATTGTGAGGCATTATGACACAACCCACTACTCCCACTGCTTGCCTAATTGTCCTCGAGCTAAGTCTTGGAAGCAAAATACCTACAATAAGGAAGGGGGGGAAGGGAGAGAAAGAAAAATTAGCAGCACTGCCATAAGCAAATAAGCAATAAGGTAGAAGTTAGCATCAACAAACATAAGACTTCATTCCAAGAAAAAGTCAATCAAATTTCTTACCAATTAAAAGTTCTTTTCCACTGGGTTTTGCATCACCAAACATCCAAGCAAATGAAAGAGCCATAATTGCAATCAAAACGGCAAACACAGCTTCTAATTTCCTGACTCCATAATTCTCTAGAAATAAAAATATGAAACTGTTCGGAAGAGACATCAGTAGTAAGCCAATGTTGGAATATATCATATAAGACTATCAGGCAGTACTGAAAACAAACTTTAAGACCAAATACTTATAACTAAAAATAAAACTAAACTTCAAGCCAATCTCACTGAAACATGAAATTGAGAGGGCAAGTTTAGTTAATTATGACGCAACTGTTGAAATCTCCAAAGACTTCCTAATTTCTTAAATGCGAAGATGAAATTCCAATTAAGCAAATCAGGTAGGTTATGTAAGATGGTTAGTATCATACTTAGCTTAAGTCAACTCAGAAGCTCAAATAATTAGCCAAAATAATTCACATAATACTTGTTCGAACACAAAATGAACAAGAAAAACCTACCAATCCGACGCCGTAATTACAACGCCAACCCAAAGCGGCAAGACTCCATGACTCAGAATCTGGATAGCAATTGCACTGCCAATAACTTCTTGAATATCAGCGCCAATCAGCGCTAGCTCAGCCATGAACCACAGAGCATACCGGGCCCAATTCGGATACTCCTCCCGGCAAAGCTCGGCTAGGTGCCGGCCCGTCGCTACGCCAACCCGAGCCGACAGCATCTGGATGAGAAGGCCCATTACTGTCGCCCACATCAAGAGCCAGAGCAGCGAGTAGCCGGCAATTGCTCCCGCCTGGAGATCCCCTTCCAGATTCCCCGGATCCAAGAAAGCTATACTCATCAAAAACCCTGGCCCCGTGAACAGCCAAAGTTTCTTCCACGAGAAAGGGCGGCACATAGTCAGCGGCTTCAAGAGGATCCCCGCAATCGACATCGACGATCAGGATCTTCTCTCGGGATTCGAACGCGACCTCTTCCTCCGAGTCGTCCGACGATGAAGAAGATGAGGATGACGCGGAAGAGGATAAGGCGATGGATTTGGTAGGTAGGAGGCGATTAGATTCCACTTCCTTGTCCTCTTCCCGCGTCGGGGAGCTCATCTTGTCAGCCGGGGGAGATATTCCGTCAGGTATTGAACGGAATATGTTGTATTGTCGGAGATGGTTAAATTTGCGCGGCGGTGCTGAGGCCGACGTTAGAGAGGCGCCGGAGGAGGTGAAGAATCCTCCCGAGATGGATGGGTTGAGGTGGGGCGTGAGTCAAAGCAGGGCGTAGGAAGCTGAATTTATATACGCACCGTTTTTGATTGATCGTGTGAGATGGAAGATCGTACAGTAATCGTCTCGTACTGATGGCTAAAAAGTGACAATCCGGTGCGTTTTAGTCTTGAGTAGAATGACACTCAGAGGCTGGAGCTGCTCATCTTTTAGCTACCGGACAAATGAGAGGTTTGATCCGTGAGCTGTTAAAATATTTTAAAAATAAATTTTAGTAAAATAGATTAAGAGATAAAAATAATAAATAAATTTATTGTAAAAGTTAGGTTCAATATAAAATTATGTCTAATTTGTTAACTTATAAAAACAGTAATAAATATTTAAATGATTATACAATAATAATAACTTAATTACTATAATTATTTTACTATTATTAATTTTTTAATTCAAATTATTCCAAATGATTCATTTTAAATTACTATCATATATTTTAAAATAAATTTTTTTTAATTAATTTATAATAAGTATAAAAAATGTCAAAAAATTTATTTTATGTTTATATTTTGGAAATATTAAATTAATATATTAATAAAAGTATGTACATATAAATTATTTATATTGTATAAGCTACTTTTCAAAAATATAGTATTTTTAATTTTTTTAAAAAATTAATAAAATAATTATTTCTTCTTTTTTTTTTCTTTTTTAAAATTTAATTGAATTTTTTATTTTAAAAAATAAAAATAAAATACACACTGATAATTATGATAAAGTAGGTATTGATCGAATTTATATATTTAACTATATTCTTCTTATACACGAAATAAATTTAAATTTAATTATAGATTTCATTATGCAAACAGTTTATTATACCTATAATTTAACATATTACTCTATATTTATCCTTCCTCATTTGTCAAGTCTATTTATTCACCTGTTTTTTTTTTTTACTTGAACAAATTTATAAAATTATTATTTTATATAATTTAATAACATTTAAATTAATAATCAACAAAAAATAATAATTTTTTACTTACATAATAAACTACTGACCAATATAATTTCACCAAATGTAATTATTCACATCATTTACTATAATGTGAATAATTACATTATAGCTTTTAACGGAACGGAAAAAAGAGAAAACGTGGCCGTTCCTAATACCAGCCAAGTGTCTTTGTACGGGGTTTTCTATTAGCTGGGGGGTGCGGTGAGCACGTGGAGTAGTAGTAACAGCAGTTAGAGCTTTATAATTAAGTACTTGTGTATGCATATGCCAAAATGAAAGCAAACGTAATCACAAGTTGGCATTAGTGTGACCTTCAAACTCACATTAAAAGCAACTCCTTCAATTTATAGCTAATATCATACTCCCTTTTTTGCTCAATGAAAAATACATATTATTATTAAAATTTGAGATTCACAAAAAAATAATTAATAATTTTGTTTGAAAAATTTTAAATTTCAAATTTCATGTATAAAGTTAATGATGCTTAATTGATTAACAGAATTGTACATATATATATATATATATGTGTGTGTGTGTGTGTGTGTGTATATCTTCAAAATCTCACCCCCAAAAAAAATCAAATCATATTTCCCTGTGTGTATATATATGATGAGGCATTCCATATGGCACAGAAGTCAAATGTACAAGAGAAGGAGAATGATTCCGGGAGCGAAATGTGGACAAGCGAAATGTTGGACGCCATTCTTTTTGGACATGGGCTACAACAAATGCCATCTGTCTGCACCACCTATCCAAGCTATCGTATCTCTGACTCTCTGCTGCTACACCTATTCATAATCTACAAAATTTTATGTCTATTTGTTAATTATTTGAATTTAATTTCACAATTTTGTATTGATTGTTGATGGACTATAATGATTGAGTTATCCATCATTAATTTATAATATTTAATTTAATAAAAATAAAATTTTAATTTATTAATATATTAATAAAATTATAATAATCAAATTGAGTTAAATTTTAACGATTTTATTATATTTTGAGTGAAATAAACATTTTGTAATGCTTAAATTTTTTTAATTAATATAATATAATATATTAAAAAATTAGATTTAATGTAAAAATTCGATATTTAAAAAGAAATAAAATTATAAATTAAATACAGAAGCGAAATAATAGAATTTAAGGTTTACATTCTTTACACAATAATTTATAATGTCAAATAGAACGACGGGAATATTCATTCTAAAAGAACAAATAAAAATTAAAGAAATAAACCAAATACAACATATTAAACATTTTAATATGACATTCACTAGCTTTTAAAAGGAGTTCAGGTGGTGAACTATTCACAATCTTTTTGTTAATCGAGATCTGGGTATTGGTTCTCTTAATATGAAATAATTAATAAAAAGGTGAGCTACACTAACCCAGTAAAAATATCATATTACTCGCCAATACAGAAACTGAATGTTAGTAAAAATCATAAAAACAACCAATAGAACTCTTGATTTAAGTAAATTTATTTATCATAAAGAAAACCATTTATTGCATATATTTACCGTTGCGAAATTTTCAAAATCGATCTATAGAGACAATAATTCAAATAATATTCTAATATCATATTCAATTTAGTAAGAACAACAACTTTCCCTTTTTGTTTGCTTACTAGTATCCCTATGAGCCTATAGGAATGTCTCATTACGTGTGAGCCAATATTCAACATTGTCAACTAACCGGCCATCCTCATACCCCGTCCAGTATGAGTGCCGAAAATATCATCCCTCAATACCACGTCCGGTATAAGGGTGAATGGGGTCGTTTTCATACTCTGTCCGGTATGAGCACCAAAAATATCATTCATCAATATCTCGTCCGGTATGAGGCAACGTTCACGGTAGGGTTCCTTATGTACCCGATCCGTTCATCATCTCTCAAGATATTCAATAAGATTATCATTCATTAATTCACATTACCAAACAATTTTTCGTTTGCATATTAATTTGTAATTTTACAAATCAACCGTAAATCACACAAGATAAGCAATATATATATCAAGGAGGTACAATTGAATCATTTAACCATTTCAGTATATCATCATGTATTTAAAACTATAAATTCAACAATCAATTAAACATGACAAACAAATAATTAACCGATTCTAGTTTCATTAGTAACTTGTAATTATTTTCAAGTTTTCTAAATTACACAAAATACCATATTATCGATTATTCAGCTTCAATTATGTAACAGATAATAAGGTGAGAGATTCTTACTCGAATCGGTATCTGAAACACTGAACTTTCTACTGTGTCTACTGGCGGTCTTCGGGTTTCCTGAATTTTTCTGTGGAGATTAAAATACGCTTCACGTACTTAAAAATATCCCAAAAATCTAAAATTAGTGTTAAAAATCCTTTTCTGGCCAATTTCTTGATTCCAGCACAGCCGTGCTCCGGCGACGGCACCACCGCCTGCAGCGGCAGTTTGCCTCAGCCTGGCCATTTTCAGCCAGTTTTGGCCCTTTTCGACCGGTTTTATACCTAACCATGCGAGAAAACACGTTAAGGAGTCTCGATTGACAGAAAAAAGTCAAAAAACAGAAACCTACCAGTGGTAGAATTTTTTGGTGCGGCGGTCCACCGGCTAACCTTCGCGGCTGGGCGTATTTCTTCGGTCAATCTGCGAAAAATAGAATGATGAACACAATTGTAGAAAAATCGCACGAAACGGAAAATGAAAAGAGGCTCATCGGAGGAGGTTGCAAATTTTATCTGCGGTTTTCAGCTCACCTGCCGTTTCTTTTGCTCTGATTTGGCTATGGGGGTGCTCGGAATTAAATTCTGAGTGGATAGGAGAATTTTTACATTTTTTTACGGTCGAAGGTGGCTCTGCGTAGTGACAGGTGGCGATCGGCTTCCTTTCTCCAACGACTGGTTCTTCTTCTTCCGCAGGAGGCTGGCGGCTAGGTTTTGGATTCGGTGTAATGTGAAATATTTATACCCCTCTCGCGTTTATTTGGACCGTTCATCGTGTTTAATCTCGACCGTCCGATCGCTTTTAAAGAGAAAATAAATTTGGACCATTTATCGTGATTTGATCTCGATCTTCTGATCGCGTTTAAAGAGAAAATAAATCTGAACCATTCATCGTGTTTAATCGTGATCGACCGATCATACCTGAGGAGGGAACGGATACGGACCGTCCACACGCACGGTAATGCTTCTAGGTCGTCCGATCGCAGTGCACGCAGATCGCCCGTGTGGTCTCCTAAGTGGCACCGAGTCAGCGTATCTTGCCATGCGGCGCTCTCCGATTCGTCGAGACTGCTGACTGGGCGGTCCTACGTGGTGCAATTTTTCTTAATTGTGTTCTGACCTCCCAGTTTTCGATTGTTCTTTCAAAAACACCATCCGAACCCAAATTTTTGTTCATTTTTTTCTAAAACTATTTTCAATTTCATTCTCAACTTATTCTTTCTATAATTTTACACTAAATTAAAATTTATTAATTTCGAAAATAAATTTTTACACATTTTTTAATGCTAAAATTAATTTCGGGCCAAATTTCGAGGTCGTGTATTATATCTAACCTTTTTTTACAGAAAAAAAAATTGCTCTTAATCAATACGCCCTTGAAAGAAGCTTTAAAAAAAATGAGTAAAATTTAAATGCAAAAGAAAAAAGTAAAAACACAATACAAAAAGTGAGTGCCCGATTAACTAGATCCAAAACGGTTCCAAGAACAATTGAATTTGAAAATCATTAAGTTCCAGTCGAGAGAGATGTGTTTGCCAAAATCAACGCATAAATTATCTTCGCGATGGATATTTATTTATGTTATGAACTTATACTTTGATGTCGGTACGTGGGCTGTTTAATTTTTTAATAATTTTTTTATTTAAAATTTATTTTAAGAAATATAACTAATTATGAAGAAAATATTGTGCAAGTTCATAAAAGAGTATGCGAAAATCATGGATTATATTTGTATAATGTGGCATCTAAAGCCACAGCCACTGGTTTTATAAAAGGTGAGATGAGCGGAACACTTTGATTGTTCTGTTTTAGATTCTTTAGACCTCGTGATTGAGTTCCCTTATGTTAAAAGCACCAATAATTGTGTTAAGTGGATGGGCATTTGGCTACATGGGTGAACTTGTGGATTGCCCACTTTCCTACTTAGCTAATCAACGAATGGACTTATATATATATACAAAGTGTGTCTAACACAAATCATTTTTCATTTTAGTAATGTAATATGAATTGTTGTTATATTTAATTTAACGAGATAAAATATTTAATTTAGTGTATCGGTGTAACTTATATTTGCTAAATAAGTTATAAACATTTGATAAAAGTACTAATAATTAAATTTTGAATATTACTAAAAAAAATATTTGAAACAAACAAGCTAATAATTTATACTTACAACATCCTCTTTAACATATTTTTCCTTAGGAGTTTAATATTGTTTATTGCAATCTTCTTTGATTAGTCAAAAATTAAAAAATTACAAAACTTTGAATTTCTCTGGTGGACTTAATTATTGTTATAGTGTCAAATCTGGTTTTAATTATTTATTATTTCGAGAAATCATAATTATGCTTTTAATTTATTAATAGATTAGCAACCATGGTAATCCTATTTTTATGTAATTTATTTAGTATGTTTTTATTTTATTTTTAAATATGTAAATGAATATATTTTTTTATGTAAATAACATGAATTTGAGGATATGAAAAGTATGGATTTTAATGTATATAAATTATTTTATTCATATATATATATATATATATTTTATACTTAGTTAAAATGAAATTAACATTTATTAACATTCTTCTTGCATGTAAGGTGAGTTGAAAGAAATTCAGGATAAAAAAGATTGAGTCAGTTCTAAACTAATAAAACATATATACGCAATTATATAGAAAATGTTGAAAGATTAATTTGAATTTTGAAGATTCATGAACGTTTCAGATTCTTATATTTATTATTTTTAAGGTACATGTAAAAATTTAGGTATATGCATGAATTTGGTTCAATGTTATGATATACAGCTGTGCTATCTATATAATTGAGTCTATATATTAAATAAGAAATATACAAGCCTTTCTCCTAAACATGTCTTTTTCATCCAACGATGTAAATATTGATTAAAGAAAAATTACGTATGGGTAGGGGATACACACACAGCAGCAGACTGGCACATACGTTATGAATTATCTATGAAATCATCATATAGAATGAATGTAACATCCCCTTCTAATATTAAAGATACATGTGCATATTCATAAACTGAAATTAAAAATTTTATTGATAATCTTTTTATTCACCAATAATGAAACACAGATCTCTTATCAATATATATCTGTTATAGAAAATAGTTTCTCTTGAGAAAGAAACTTAGCCATGATTGCTCGGGGCTTGCATTTAGCTTGCAGAGGTTCACCCTTCTGCAAGCTGAAAGCAATTGCTTCAGTCATATCCACCATCTCCTCACCAACCCTCGACCAGTCAAAGCATTGAATGAGTGTTCCAAGTGCCAATCCGACAGTCCTTACAGCCAAAGCCTCTCCAGGACACCCCCTCCGACCCGACCCAAATGGCATCAACTTGAACCCATCTCTTCCTCCAAGCTCCGGGAACCCTACGCTAGATTTATGCCTCTCTGGCTTGAAGCTTCTCGGATCCTCCCATGTATTCGGATCATTCTGTATGGCCCATGCATTGGTCGATATCATCGTCCCACTTGGAACCCGGAATCCTCCTATTATGCAGTCCTTTGAAGTTTCGTGAGGAACCAGAAGTGGGAGCGGTGGGTACATACGATTTGATTCAAGAATGATGCTACGGAGAAATGGAAGTTTGGGTAAATCGGATTCTTCAAGAAGACGTTTATTCTCTCCTATTTGATTGTCAATCTCCATTTGAACCTTCTTAAGAACTTCTGGGTGGTTTAGCAGCAACGAAAGTGACCACTCCATTGTATTTATTGTAGTATCTGTTCCTGCCAATATAAGAACCTATATACATGTATACACAAACATCAAGTACAGATCTATGCATGCTGTTTGAGGATTTAACAGAGTATAGTAATGGATATTACTAGTATAAGACTTCTGATCATGGCATCGCTGTAATATTCAGGATCTGTTTCTTGCAAAATGAGTATGACATCGATTAGGGTTTTCCAGCTCTCTCCATCACGACGATTGCTCTTCATCTTCCTTCTACGTTCTTCAATCAAGTTTTGCATGAAAGCATCTCTCTCCTTCTGAAGTTCTATCATCTGCTTCTCCAGCTTCCATGATTTAATCCATGGGATGTAATCTACGATGGCCATTGTCCCGCCGATCTTAAAAGTCTCCCCATGAATCTCCCGAAACTTCTTTGCTTCCTTGGCGTCTGTTATGTTATCACCAACATATCGCTTTCCAGCTATCATCATCATCATGACATTGAGAGTGAGCTCGAAGAAAACCACCCTCATGTCAAGAGGACGATTTTGACGTTTGATGAGTGATGAGACCATTGACTTCACCTCGTTGACTCGAATCCATTGCAGTAACTGGAGACGACCAGACGATAATAGCTCGAGAGAGACGAGACGTCTAAGGTTTCGCCAATGGTCACCGTAGGGAGCCCAAGCCAGTGACGTGTTGTTGATGGCGAAGTGTTTGGTCATGAGAAAACGAGGACGATTAGCACAAGCGACGTCGTTTGTGGTGAAGCATTCTTCGGCGGCGGCTGGTGAAGAAACCAACAAGACAGGACGTGAGCCATATTGAAGTAAAAGAAGATCACCATGTTTCTTAGCAATCTCTGAGAGTGTCTTGAAGATAGGTTGTTTGAGGAGATGGAGATGTCCGATTACGGGTAGACATGGAAACGGTCTTGGAGGGAGGTTTTCTATTTTCTTACTAAAACGTTTGGTGAAGAAATAGAGCATGGAAAATATCAGAGAGCAGTAGAGATACCAAATGGCCGCCATGTTTTTTCTTTCTTTTTCTTCTTTTTATTTTTGGGTTCAATCTTATTGCTCCTAATCTGCTTAAATAGCCCTAAAAATACCCATCTAACTTCTTAATCTAATTGCTTACCTGTTTTTCTTATTTACGGAAAGTTATAAATTACAAATATAAATGCTCTTCCTTTTTAGTTTTCTTATCCTTCAAACTGGAATTATGAGATTTTTTTTCTTCTTAATATATAGATATTATGCATATAGGGGCCAATTAATATCATGTTGACAAATTTCTTTAGCTATTTATTGAGTTGCATTTTATTTTGTGAGAATAAATGTCATGATGTTTTTTTCCTTTTTTTTTTAATAAAAAAAAAAACAATTTGTCCTTTAAAGTTGTAATATAGAGATTATTTCTTAACATATATAGATATTATGCGGCTTCCTTTTTTTAATCTATATTTTAATTTTTTTTGTATATAATGTTGTGAATTTAAATTAAGTTATGCCTTATGTATAGCAATTAGTATTTATACGCTATTTAATATTCAAAAGAATGATTTTTTTTTCAAAAAGATTATATTTTGGTTACATCTGATTATGGATTGTCAAAAATTAAATTGTGAGAAAGGAAAAATATTTATTCAATTGTTTTTAACAATTTATCTATTAAAGTGGAATGTGAAGATTCTTACTATACATATATATATATTATGTGTACGAGGACTTATCCAAAAAAAACCTGTCTGCTTTGGATTAATTATTGTATAGAAGTTGGTGAAACGAACATAACCCACTATTTTTTATTCAATTTTCTACTAACAACTACTTTAGTTCGTGAAAAATGTGAAAATATTACTTGCCCAATTGCGAATTACAGCAGGCACACAATACTCAACCATTGAGTGAGTATAAGCTTGCAAAAACGAAAAAAAAAAAAGAGAACAATTGATTGGATTGGTCAACTATGGCTGTCTGGTATCTCTACTCCCTTTTGATATTCCTGGTAACCTCCATCTTCACCAGGCACTTTCTGAACAAAATCCAGAATCTTCCACCAACCCCATTTCCATGTCTACCCGTCATCGGCCATCTCTACCTCCTTAAGCGACCCATCTACAGAACTCTTTCTCGCATATCCAAGCGAAGCGGTGATGTTCTCCTTCTACAATTCGGATCCAATCGAGTCCTCGTCGTCTCGTCGCCGTCAGCCGCTCAAGAATGTTTCACCAAAAACGACATCATTTTCGCCAACCGTCCTCACTTTCTCATGGGCAAACACTTGGCCTACAATTTCACCGCCATCTCTTGGGCACCCTACGGTGACCATTGGCGGAATCTCCGGCGGATTTCCTCCCTCGAGCTCTTGTCACCGACCCGCCTTCAAATGTTGTATCACATCCGAGCCGACGAGGTGAGGACGATGATTCGCAATCTCTTGGAAAGTCAAGATCAAGTCGTTGATCTGAGAACATCGTTTTTCGAGTTGGCGCTCAACATCATGATGAGAATGATAGCTGGAAAACGTTACTATGATAAGAACGTGGAAGACGTCCGAGAAGCAAATCGATTTCGTGAGCTTCATGACGAGACTTTGAAGTTGAGTGGTTTAACTGCTATTGAAGATTTCTTGCCGTGGATTAAATCTTGGGATCTTGAGAGGAAGTTGATAGAGTGTCAAAAGAAGAGAGATGGGTTCATGCAGGATTTGATAGAGGAGGGAAGAAGGAAGATGAAATTTGATAGCTGCGATGGAGAGAGGAAGAAAACAATGATCGATGTCTTGTTGTCCCTGCAAGAATCAGAGCCAGAGTATTACAGTGATCTAATCATCAAAGGCCTGATGCTGGTAATATTTCATCGACAAATATTATAAGTTCGAAATCGTTAAGTTAAATCTATAATTTTACAATTTTGTGCGCAGATTCTTCTCATGGCTGGGACTGATACGACTATAAATACAATGGAGTGGGCACTTTCACTGTTATTAAACCACCCAGAAGAACTTAAACGTGCCGAAACTGAAATCAAGAATCAAATACCAGAGGGTCGTCTTCTTCACGAATCAGATTTGCCCAACCTTCCATACCTTCGCTGCATCATAAATGAAACAATGCGTCTGTACCCGGCAGCCCCCTTGTTAGCACCACATAGATCATCCGCGGAGTGCAGCGTCGGAGGGTTTCGCATTCCGGCCGGCACGACACTAATGGTTAACGTATGGGCAATACAACATGATCCTAAGATTTGGGAAGATCCAACAAAATTTAAGCCAGAGAGGTTTAGAGAGATGTCGGAGACAGCTGGTGCCGGAGCCAAAGATGGGTACTGTTTGATGCCTTTTGGGTCTGGGAGGAGAAGCTGTCCTGGAGATGGGTTGGCTATGAAGGTGATAGGCTTGACTCTAGGCTCGTTAATTCAGTGCTTTGAGTGGACGAGGGCTGACAAGGAGATGGTGGATATGACTGAAGGAGTTTCCTTTACCTTGCAGAAGGCTAAGCCACTGCGTGCTAAATGCCGACCAAGAGCCACCATGGCCGAACTTCTTTCTAAAATATGAAGCAAAATGATCTTGTTGTATTGGAAAAACGTATTTTGTAAAAAAAATAATACGATGATCTCTGAAGTTTTCTTTAATATTTGTGTAAAAAAATAATAAGATGAAGTCTGAAGTTCCCTTTAATATTTTATGATTTAAATTATTTACGTTTTAAATTATTCATGTCCACCATCTTTCCACCACCAACTCTCTCCCACTCAAAGCAGTGAACTGGCATAATCCCATATCAGTTCCTGCTTTCTTTAAAATTACTGGGTTGTTGAGGCATGGTCCAATATTCTATAGCCCCATGTCAGTCCCTGCTCCGGTAAAACCTGTAAACCATGCTACAATTTTGTTAAATGTTTATATATGCATACATATGACATTATAGAGCCATAAGCATACCATGTATCAAGTATTTGATAGTTTCATTTTTGTAGAGTAACAAGACTTCAATCATGGTACTCTGTTTCTCCAAAACGGGGACTCCTTGGTTTGAATTTGTCTTACTTTTCTTTTTTGATATTCGACTAATTCTTGCATGAATCTTTTTTTAAAAAAAAAATCTGCAGATCCATTTAAGCTTTTTGAGTCCCATCAACCTCAATAATTACAAGAAATCTACCATGTTGGCGAGGACATTTGGAAAATTTTTTGAAAGATAGACCAACTCTACTAATATTTAATTGTAAAAGGGAGAGAGAATAAGGAAAGACTAATAAAAAGATTTAATTTTTAAATTTATAATTATCTCTATAAATCTTAAAAGTATACAGGAATATACAAACATTGATATAATTCTTAAAATTTCAAATACATTAATTATAATTAAATTTAAATTCATAAACTATAATTAATTCTAATTCTTGAACTACTTAGAAAAACTCAAAAAATATATATTAATTATTATATTCATAACCTATATATAACTTAATATCTTAATAAGACAAAAAGCTTAGAAATTATTGAAGAAATAATTTAAAATTATATTAAGGTTATTCTTTTTTATAAAAATCATAAATTATCGAGTGAAATTATAAAGTATTAGTTATAAAAAATTAAAATAAAATAGTAAATCGTGATAAATCAGGGATTAAATAACAATAAATAGATAGGGATAGACCTGTCTATATACTAAACTGTGGACTATTTATGTATTCGCATCCTGTTTTGATTGAATAGAATCATTTTATATTTTTTCTTCTCCAAAAAGTGGTATCAAAGCCAGAAAAGAAAAAACATTAAATTATTATTTTTTTTTGTTCCGCAGTAGTTGTGGACAGCCATAACGTCAGATAATACGTATATGCAACTTGTAATTTCAGGTTGAAAGTCAAAAAGCTTTGTGAAAAAAAAAAATAGATCACCATGGACTCATCGAAAGTAATAGTTGTGAAACCCCAAACCCTTCGACATGAGTTCGAAACTTAATCACGAAGACAATATTTAAAAACTTGATAAGACACAAAAATGACAGTCAAGCTTAGAGATTAAAAAAAAAAAAAACTTTTTTTGTTTCTCCATCCACCTGCAGCTTAAAACCATAAGAAAAATTGAGACGAAAACCCTAACATCGTCTTCTTCTCTCAGTCGCCGCCCCTAAACCACTGAAACCCTAAAATGCTGCTCTCTCTCGACATCGCCTTAATGGAGAAAGGGGAGGCATCGCCTTGTCCGGAAGATAATCGGTCCACGAAGAAGGTTAAGATAAGGTCGGAGGAAAATCACTCTCCGTTTCCTGATGAACGACAGAGTATGGAGGAAGGGATGGCGGAAGGAGCAGTGGAAGTAGAAGATACACTGCCCAACCCGGAAGCAAGCCGCTTAAGGTGGAACGATGCGACTCGATCTGGGGCTGACCACCTCGCGTCGTTGGCAGGCGAATGGGGCCTGGTCACAATGCCGATGGGAGGGGATGCGAAAATAGGGATGGTGGAACATTCTGGCGCGACCCGACCTGCGTGCCCGAGCACGACCCGACTGAGTGCGATCCAGAGGGTGGTTGCGGAGGACGAACCGATGATGAAGGCAATGCAGGTTGAAAGTAAGCCGGCAACAGAGGCGGCTCTCCCCTGTCCTGGTGTGACCCGACAGGCGCTCCCAACCTTGCTTTGGTCTGGTGTGGAAAAGTTAAATATTAAATATGAAACTATAGCGGATGCTGTGATTGGGGATGGATCCTATGGAATGGGCGGAGAGGTAGTGAACTTCAGGCAAATTACAGGCGAGAAATCACAAACCACACACCTTGGGAAATCTCTTTCGCCGCAGGAAGCACCGAATGTGAAACTCTCCTTTAGAGATAAACTCATTAATAGTTATCACGTTCTTAACAGGGAGATGAAATTGAGATCTGGGACGGGATGTTAATTATCAGGTTCTTAACAGGGAGATGAAATTGAGATCAGGGACGGGGATGTTAAGTTCAACATGGAAAATGGAATACTGAGAATCAGTTTTTCAAAAAAGGTGCATAACCTTCCTAACGCAAAATATGAAACTTAGAGTGATTAGTGGACTATTTGAAAAGCCAATTGGATATAAAGCACTTTAGATAAAACTTCATAACTTGTGGAAGCCTACTAATTGATTACACATGATTGGCTTAAATAATTATTACTACATGGTCAAGTTTCACTCGACAGGGGACTTATCTGCACGTTCTTATGGATGGCCCATAGGTTATTTATGGTCATTACCTCACGGTGCAACCTTGGTCCCCCAGTTTCTCTACTACAAATCCTGATGTCACTAATGCGGCGGCTTGGGTGTGATTTCCCGGCCTCCCTACCCATTATTACTATAAGAGTGTGCTCAGAGCTATCTCAAAGGTGATAGGGAAGGCATTTCGCATTAACTATAACACTGAATCCACAATGAAGCAAGTTTGCTCGATTGGCGGTTGTAATTTATTTGACCAAATCACTCATTTCTAAGTTCATGCTAGATGGGCGTCTACAAAGAGTGGAATATGAGGGATTGCCTACTATATGCTTCGACTGCGGAATATATGAACACCTTAAACATCAGTGCAAAAAAAATACTGAGACAGAGATTGAGTCAGTCAAGAGTGGAAGCACAGGTCTTAATGAACAGGATAATATGGCAGTGTTAGATGAAAATTATGGTCCCTGGATGCAAGTCCAATGCAAGGGAAAGAAAGTTGAAAATAAGAGTTCTATCTTGTCAGACAAAGGTTCAGATATCCCAAGAGAGAATAATAAGAATGGATCAAGATTTAGTATAATTGCATATATGGAAGGAGCCTGAGAAGGACCAAATTGGTTGGTGGTGAAAGCCCCTAAAGAGATGGGAGTCTCAAATGAAAAACAACCCCCAAGGAACAAAGGAAAAATGCCGATGGTGGAAGACATTGATCAAAAGACGATGGATGCTCTCCCTAAAATTATGGGTTCTACTATGTTGGCCAATACTAAGCCCACAATTAGACGTGTGATGCCCGTAACTAATATGGTCGAAGAATATAGTGGGACAAAGGGATGCATTAGCCCCCGTGGCACATGAATGACTTACAATGAGAAGTTTGTAATAAGTCAGGATACTACTACGTTGGAATCTTCACATAATATCATTGTAATAATTAAAGATAGGGCAGACTAAGATCACGAACTGAATCGGTCCTCCTCCCATAGCTCCATGCTAATAACGATCTCCTTGAGAGATCGCCTCAAGCCAGTAGTCAAACTGTCGGATAGACTTGGTATCAAGAAAGACAAAAAAATTAATAAGACCTTTAAAAAATAAGTTAAGGCCAAAAAAGGGGACGAAGCACCTACATCCACTATATCCACTACGATCAACCTGCTTATGTCCAAAAGTCAAGAGCTTGTCAACAAGAATGTAAGTCTCATTTCGAGTGCTGTTGATGCCCTTCAAAAAGAGCAAACATAGTCTTTCTTTTGAGCATAAGCTCCTCTATTCCCTTATCTTTACCATATGGATTGCTCATTTCTTGTGTGAAATTATC